CTTCACCGAGATTCAGTCTATCTACGGCTCTGACATGAACTCCGTCTTCTCCGGTGGTCTCGTCTACGAGTACAGCCAGGAGGACAACAACTACGGTATTGTCAAGGTCAACGCCGACAAGTCTGTTAAGCTTCTCGTCGACTACGACAACCTGGCCACTCAGTACAAGAAGGTCGACTTCAAGACCCTCCAGGCTACCAAGGCTTCCTCTTCCTCGCCCAAGGCTCCCAAGTGCGACTCTTCTCTCATCACCGAGAAGGGCTTCAACAACAACTTCACCCTGCCTGCCGTTCCCCCTGGCGGTCAGGATCTGATCGACAACGGCATCAGCCCCAAGCCCTCCGGCAAGATCATCACCATCTCTGACTGGTCCGTCAAGTACAAGGTCTACGCCTCCGATGGCACCACCGAGCTCACCAACCTCGCTGTCTCTCCTCTGTCTGGCGATGACTCCAACACTCCTGGTACCAACACCGCCGGCGGAACCCAGGCCGCCACTGGCACTGGTGCCGCTGCTACCAGCACCCCTACCTCTACCGGCGGCGCTACCAGCGCTGGAATTCCCCTGCGTCCTGAGGTCATGGCTTTGGCCGCCCCTCTTCTTGCTCTTCTTTTCTTGTAAAGTTTTCATGAGTACAGGATTTGTTACTTGGCTTAATAGTCAGCTTGGAGGTTATGAATTGGTTTCTTTCTGGCGACATAGATTCCCCGCGGTTTGTGTATAAACCTGAATAGATGCGAATGCGTCATTGATAACATTGTCTGCTGTACCCCTTGCTGTGACGTGAGTTTAATGTGTCGGGCCAACAGCTCCTAAGTGACTCGAGCCATTCCGCATTTGTATATTGGTTGGCAGACGACTCGGTAGAGTTGCCAGTCGTAGACGACGTGCGCAGATCCTGTCTATCCCGTAAGGCTGAGTTTTCGCAAAATGAGAGGTGATTGTGGGGAAAACCTTCAGCCCGATATCTTCACTGCATTTTAAACCCACCGCAAGCGCTCATCAACTTCTCCAGGGAAGAGACCTCTTACTTACTGTCCCACAGCGTTATTGGACTTTAAAGACGGGCATTTGAGCGATTTGACATTTTGTTCTCCATGGCCTGGTGCATGGAGGACACCAAGTTAGAGTAGGTTGTATCTTGAATTGGCACACTATTCTCAATATCAGATGCGTAGTCTCAACCACGCTCAACTAACCGTAGGGGTTCATCCCTCAACGGCTTTCACTCACCGCCCGCTGACTCAACGTCCCGAGTCTTCAGCGGCACATAATTTCTGCCGGCGTTAAGGCCAAGCTAGAGTCAGACCCCCACCACAGCGATGGGGGTACCGTACCTCCCAATGGGTAGTATCAGGTACTCGACCCCAAGGGATGGATGAGTGAGGTGACTCCCGCTCTTTGTGTGACTGACCGCCCGCCCGCACCGCCCCTCCGTCCCCGAATCCGTGGACCTAACTTTCGAAACTCTAAGGCCTCCTCCCCCCCTCCATCGCCTACATCTCCGCCTCCCCTATGCTGCCCCGCCTCCGACCGGTCGCCCGCGCAATCCCACGTCAACCTCCCGTTCCCAGCTTCTCGAGAAGACAGCATCTAGGCACAATGGCTCCCGGTACGTCGCGTGCACCATCGCAATCCACAGCCCGCCCTCCTCCCTGACCGCCGCACCGGGTGCGGAAACAGACGAGAAAAGAAGACTAACACTCTCGAAAACACCAGTTCCCCCCTCCGACCGCCGTCCCCTCGTCATCTCCGGCCCCTCGGGCGTCGGCAAGGGAACCCTCTACAAGCGCCTCTTCGAGAGCCACCCGGACACCTTCGCCCTCTCCGTCTCGCACACCACCCGTGCCCCGCGCCCGGGCGAGGCCGACGGCGTCGACTACCACTTCGTCACCCGCGAGGCTTTCGCCGACCTCGTCTCTAAGGACGGCTTCGTCGAGCACGCCACCTTTGGCAGCAACTCGTACGGCACCTCCAAGGCCACCATTGAGGAGCAGTCCGCCAAGGGCAAGGTCGTTGTGCTCGACATTGAGATGGAGGTATGTACACAGACAGCACAGCCCGCTCCCCTTGGGAGGCCATGCTGACAGGAGTATCACATATAGGGCGTCAAGCAGATCAAGAACAGCTCCATCTCCGCGCGCTACGTCTTCATCGCCCCGCCCTCCGAGGAGGAGCTCGAGAAGCGCCTCCGCGGCCGCGGGACCGAGAAGGAGGAGAGCATCCAGAAGCGTCTGGCCCAGGCCAAGGTCGAGCTCGAATTCGCCAAGACGCCTGGCGTTCACGACATCACCATCGTCAATGACGACCTCGATAAGGCTTACAAGCAGCTCGAGGACTTTGTCTACAAGTCTTCTTGAAAGGGGTAAAAAATACGAAACTACAAACCGGGCTAGGAGCGGAATCGGACGGGTATATACCGAGGCGTTGGGACTGAATACGACATTCAGGAAAGAAGAACTGTGGGCTTCTTCGACATAGCATGGCGGTCTTTTGTGTGTGCATTTTAGACTAAAAGCATTCTTATACAGCCAAGACAGGCAATATATACTGGTCCATTTTGAGGTCACAAATCACATTGCTTGAGGGATCATAAGCCATGTCAGGTGTATTCTCCATGAGGTATCGAAACGAACTCTCTATTAGAGTACGATTGGATTAAAACGTAAGAAAGTGTGAAGTCGAGCAAAGTGCTGCTAAAAGTCGAAGTAAGAAAACAGAAAGTTGCGTCCAGCTGTAAGATGGAAAGGGGGGAATAATGGACTATTTCGCCAGCACAAGTACTTAAACAACGACCACAGGGCCAGAGGGGGTATGACCTATATCCGCGCGCAACGCCGGCATCTTCATTCATCCCATGCAAACTTCTCCCATGTCTTCCGGCGGAGATAGCTGCTGCTGACTCTTCCCTGAGAATTATCGGTCGATGCAGCCTCCGCTTGCTGCCGGGGCCGTGCCGTGCCTTTTATCTGCGCATAACACCATGAGATCGAAAAGTCGTCAGAAAATCCGGCCGCCCAAGAATATCATTGCCTGCTGGCTCCTCGAGTGCGCGGGTGGGGATGTTCGTCAACTAGTATCCGTTCATGGTCATTCGTTGCGAGCTTCGGCTGATTTCCCGGTCGGCGGCAGGGCTGATGGGTCTGCTGCCACCGCCGTGTGCGCTGCTCTCCTTCAGGGCCAGAAGCTGCTTGGCACGGAAAGTCTCGTAGTGGATCTGAGATGTAGTCTCAATGAGGTCCTGGAGATGGGTGCGGAGCAGGAAGTTTCTCAGGTAAGTGAACTCGCAGTGGTTCTCGTCCTCGACGTTGATCACACCCCAGCGGTTCTGGCGGCCACGGACCTGCTTGCCGTTGACGATGATGGACTTCTCGGAGCCAACAACAGCGAAGGGGACCAGGTCCTACAAGCAAGTTAGCACGTCGATGTACAGAGTCTTTGTATTGAGGGAGATTTCCCACCTTGATCTGAGTGTTGAGACCACGCTCCTCCTCATCAAACTCATCGTTGTCGTAGGGGTACATCTTGAGGTTGTGGAAAGCGAACTCCTCCTTGATGCGCTCCTTGAACTCCTGGCGCTCCTCGAGAGTGAGGGTGTCGGACTTGGCAATAACGGGAACGACGTTGACGACATCGGAGAGCTTCTTCAGGACGACGATATCAATGGGCTTCAAGGAGTGGCCTGAGGGCTGGATGAAGAAGAGGCAGCAGTGGATGCGGGTGTCCTGAATGTAGCGCTCACGCTGGGCGGTGAGCTCCTTGCGCAAGTACGCGGAGTGTTGATCCTTGATGTACTTGACAATGGGGTCCCAGCAGCGGTCGTTGTTGACCAGGTCTCCGTAACCGGGGGTGTCGACAATGTTGAGGCGCAGACGGACGCCGTTCTCCTCGATCATGTGAGACACGGCCTGGATCTCGGTGGTGGAGCGGACGGGCTCATCGGGCATCATGCGACCCTTGGAGTCGATGAGGTGGGAGGCGAAGATGGTGTTGATCAGGGTGGACTTGCCCAAACCTGTCTGGCCTGTAATGTGGAGCGTCAGTCGACTGCACCTGTGGTGGACGCGACATCGCGAGGCACGCCAGCCCACCGAGCGGTAGAGAGCAGCGCGGGGACAATTGCACAGAGGAACTCACCGACGCAGATGACATTGAACTGGAAGCCACGCTTCAACAGCTTCTTCTCGATCTGGGACGTGATGCTGTCGAAACCGACGTGGGACTGAGGGTAGATGGTCTGGGGCTGCGCCATCGTGTCTGCTTTTCCCGTGGGGAGCGAAAGTGGTACGAAAAGGTAAGGAGTGAAGCTGAGATACGTTTCTGTATTCCAAGAAAAGTATTCGTCTCGAATTGGGGGCCGAGTCGAGGGTCGGAATGGCAGTGGGCAGGGAGAGGGAAGAAAGAGATCACGAGGTTGCGGTTGGAGAAGGACTCAGGATGTTTCGAAGGAGAACAAGCCGGTGAAGGGCAGAAGGGTAGCGTAATTTCTCTGTGCTGGCACTTGGAGGTGCTTTGCTACCCGTTCCCCCGTGTCTCTCAGTCAGGCACTGGCCGTTGGCTGCAGCTAATAGGTTGTTCCTTCCACCTCCAGCAAACAATAATTTCCCTGCAGGGAGTGTCTACAGGGGTTAGAGGGAAAGGGGGAAAGGGGTCCTCGCCGCGTTGATTGGTTGAGTGGCGTCCGTGCGCGACGTGAGCTGTGATTGGTTGGGGAATCTCAATTGACAGCTCCCCCGGTCGCACGTCTTTTTTTTCCCGGCTTGGACGACAGAGCGAAGCCTCAAATCGTGAAGTGGTGACACTATTGCGCTCGCTACTGCCCTGCTGTCGCGACACCAACGACACCGACCGCCGCCCAAGGCTCAGCAGTATCCTCCCGTTGGAGCGGACGATCGAACATCGACTATCTGGTTGCTCGTCTCTGCAACAGGCCGCCGAAGCAACTGCCATTTCCGAACACCCTCGCCTGCGAGACGAATTCGAGCCGCACGATATCGAAATGGCCGCCATTGCGATGACCGCGCAGCCCCTGCGCATCCTTCCCCAGATCTCCGCGCCAGCCTTCTCCAGGTCTGCAAGGATATTCTCTCTCTACACCCGCCAGCTCGTCCAGCCCATGTTCCCGACGCTCGCCGCCCTCCCCGCAATCAACCTCAACATCCCCGCATGGCTCGGCGGCATCTGGGAGTCCGTACTCCGGGCAGTACCGAAGAAGAAGACGTCTCACTCCAAGAAGAGGCACAGGCAGATGGCTGGAAAGGCGCTGCAGGATGTGAAGTCTTTGTGCAAGTGTCCTGGATGTGGCCAGGTCAAGAGGCAGCACGTCTTATGCCCCACCTGTACGAAATGTGAGTTGCCAAATTGGGACCTCTCTGGAGGTGTCTTTACTGACATTTGGTGTTATAGCGATCCAAAACCAGTGGAAGGACTTTGAAGCGGGAAAGTACTTCTAAGTTGCCAAAGGGCTGTGTAACTTTTTAAAAGACGTGTATATTCAAGTGTACGACTGGTAGCACCATGCGGCGTTCGGGACAATCCATCACCTTAAGACGATACATCAGAATCGCAGTGACTGCTTGGCGACTTGCCAACTTGTTGCAGAACTTCTATGGGCTGGTCTCCGATCGAGCCGGCTTTCTGAGGCCCCATCAGCTTGTCGAGACCATCAAACCCGAACTCTCACATTACAAGGAGGGTAGTTCACGCTGAAACGACTGAGACGACATCTTCGAAGGACTTTTGAGCCACGGTGGACCGTCTTCGGGTCATTCAGGGCAACAAACAGGTGTCTGTTACCTCGGAGGTGTTCCGTCACTTCCAACGAGCCAGTACAAGAAAGGTCTTTGTCCGACCAACAATGCTTTGGTCGACACAACTGCCTTTGAGGTGCTGGAAACAATGCAACCATTTCTCACAAAGGCATTGTACAAGTGAGAAACTATGCTGTCCTGGATATAAGATTATTGACTTGGTCAACTCCCGATGTGAACAGGAAGTTCAACGGCAGTATCGATTATCAAAACACACCTTCTTTGCCAAGCCCACACCTTAGACAATACAGTTGTACACCATGTTCACTGCTAAAACTGCGACGAAGTATCCATATGCCGGCTTGGTAGACCTTCCGGTTGAGATTATTCTCCAAATCGTCACTTACATTAGCCCTCCCAGTAAGTCGCATCTGCGGTTGCCTTTTGGCTACACACTCCACAGGACAAATCTTCGAGACGGCATTCGAGACCTCAAAAACCTGACGCTATCATGCACGAGGCTATACGACATGCTCCAGCCGACCCTGTACACCCAAAGTGGTCAAGATGACTGGTACGCTCTTCGTTGGGGCGCTTTCCACGGCCTGACCCGGACGATGGAAGACGCATTTCTGGCCGGAGCACCGTTAAACTGGGTGTACGATGATGTCGACGACTATCATGCCAACAGCTACTGTCGATGTGGCCGCTTCGACGGCGGCCCTGCTTGGTCGAACAACTCCGTATGCTGCACGCTCTTCTATGAGAAAAAGCCCGTACGCAGTGCCTGGACGCCATTACTGACTGCCATTCGCGGCGGGCATCCTGAAGCTGTCGAATGGCTTCTTTCAAAAGGAGCTGATGCTAACTGGGCTGCCAGACCGGAACCCGGACTGGGAGAAATACTCTGTAAGTCTTGCTCTCACAGAGTTGACTGTCCAAGTCTCTTGACTTGCGATGAGTGTGGGATTACGCCAATGCAGGGAGCGCTCGACTACTTTACTCACAGCTCGTTTGGGGGGTCTCTTTTGACGGAACATAATCGCGTCAAGGTTCTCAGGAGCCTCATCCAACACGGCGCAAGCGTCAACCAGAAATTCGGATTTATACAATGCCCCGGCCAGGACCTTCACCTACCTTCCTTGCCCGTACAACACTGGAACCCTCTCGGCCTCGCCCTGTGTACACAGACGGTAGGTCCAGCAACTGTGAAGTTTCTCCTCGACAATCGAGCGCACTTTGAGATGGGACCAGAGTCACTCCTAAATCCAGTACTGGCACACATGTCGCATTGCAGAGTTCCACAGCTCAACTGGAAGGTACCCATTGAACTTCCCCTTTTCGAGTGCCATGCGAAGGCGCGCGTTCTTCTTTCGAAGCATCAGAGGCACGACAACTGCCATTGCATCCCAAGCTTTGACTCCCTGAACCCGGTCGACCCGCAATCCAGACTTGACTGTGACGAGATCCCATACGCTGGCTACAGAATCCGGGAAGTCTTCGACTTTTTGCACGAACATAGACTGCCAATCCTCTCTTCCCACCTTGACGGGGAGACATCTATGAGAGTGCCTCCGGTGATCAAGGCCGTTCGAGGGCTGAACCCAGAAGCAGTGCGCTTGATCGTCCAAGAGGGCGCGGACCCAAATGCTCGCTGTTGGTTAGGACCAGTTCCCCAAGGCTTTAGATCTGATAGAAGATTAGATGGGCACCTTCCGCTGACCTACGCATGTTCCATGGTCGATGATGAGGATGGCCTATACGAAATCGTCCTGGAACTGCTCAAGGGGGGCGCCAGCCCGATGCTGAGAGATCTGCAGGGCCTCACGCCGCTACACGAGCTGTCGCGCAACACTTACGACGAAGCAACTGCAAGACTGCTCATCAATTTCGGGGCGAATGCCAATGGCCTCGACGCCAATGGGTGGACTCCATTACACCATGTTTGTGCACAGGCACCACCGCAGCACCCACCGTGTCGCGCGTTTGCGAGCGTTTGCGTTCAAAAGAGAACACCATTGGTCAAGCTTTTGCTGAGTAGAGGAGCTGACATAGAAGCCAGAACCCGCCAGTATGGCCAGGAGCAGGGTAAAACTCCCTCTGAGCTAGCCTTGGCCAACAAGCTGCCTTTTCCGTGGGAGCGTCTTCTGGGAGAGAGGCATGCAACCGCTCATGGTCGGGGTTCCATCAAGGACTTGATCCATATTAGTCGAGGACGTTAAGCCAGCTGATTACTATCAATAGCCTTAAAGGGTTCTGATTTTGGAGGAATTGTCGAGATGGTCGAAGTAGTCCTTTAATATTTCGTCGACTCCCCCCCCACCTATTTAGATACATAACAAAAGAAGGATCGGATGGTTAATATGGTTTACTACTTGCATGAATTTCATGGTAATTAGTTTTCGGAAATTATCTCTTGTCACTACACAAAATGAAGAGAATATTCTTTGGATGGTAACTCAATGGACATGAAGTTGTTGCGGTTGAGCATGCATGGGTCGTGGTATTTGTTGGTGGCGCCCCTCAATTGCCCCTCCCTGCCAAAAAGCCCACTGCAGGGGTCTTTCTTCGCAAATGTGTGATGTCAGCCCCCACCTTCCCGTTCACATCGCGGTCGCAACTTTCCCATACGCAACCGCGTACCCTCCACAGCGGCACAAGCTTCACATGGACTGGCAGCCATGGTAGGCGAACTCTGAACGAACATCTGCCAAACTTGAGCTGACTGAGATAGTCTAAACAATACCTGACCACACACACTGTGGACAATGGTGCGACATCCGTGAAGCTTGAAGCTCTGAGGAGCTTCCACTTGTTCGTCACGCAGCCTAGCTAACACACTCTCAGCCCACATAACCGACATCTTCGGGCTCGCTGCTACACCCCGAGCCGTTCTCTCGGCCAGCGGTTCTTCGACCCTTCATGCCCACAACACCGCCGACCCTGCGATCCCCATCACACAGTCCATCAGCGGTGCCCACAAGCTCGGCTGTCACCACATCTGCACCTCGCGTGATGGCCGTGTAGCTGCCAGCGCGGGCTTTGCCGGCGAGCTGAAGGTCTGGGTCGTTGACAAGGACACGGGTGATTGGAAGCTTCACTCGGAGGTCACCGATCAGAACTCCAAGGCGGGCGAGACATGGGCCATTGCGCTCAGCGAGGACGGCAAGTTCCTGGCAGGTACAACATATGACGGCCGGATAAACGTGTGGGACATTGGCGAAGAGGGAACGCCCAAGATCCGGGAGTATGAGACGGGAAGCCCTGGCTCGGGCAGCTTCGGCATGTCGGTCGACTTGAGCAGAGACGGAAAGTTCACTGCGAGCGGACACCAGAACGGTTCCGTGTACCTCTTCAACAATGACACCGGTCGGCTTGCGTCCTCTCTGCCTGGTATGGACCCATATGTTCTCCTTCGAGACCTCCCAGCTGACCCATGAACAGGATTGGCCAAGCCCGTTCGCGCGGTGGCATTCTCTCCAGGCAACACGAGACTGGCGGCCGCTGGCGACTCCTCCATCATTGCCATTTACGATCTCAAGCACGGCGAGCAAGTCGGTAACCTGACTGGCCATTCTTCGTGGATCACGTCCATTGACTGGAGCGACACCGGCGAATACCTTCTGAGCGGAGCGATGGACGGCAAGGTCAAGGTTTGGTCAGTCGAGCGCTATGCCTGCGTAGCTACGCACAGCGAGACGGATAAGGCACTGTGGTCTGTCAAGTGGCTTCCCAAGACCGGAAGGAGTGAGATGTTCTGCACTGCCGGAGCAAACAGGAGCATCTCGTTTTACAGAGAGGCCACTGGAGCGTAGAGGGGCAGTGGGACGATACAAAAGGCTGGTGTGCATCTCAGATACCCCGGCAAGCTATGCAGTTTCTGCGATATATAGCGTTAAATGGCAAAGACAGACAATAGACATGCTGAAATGAAGACAGAGAGGACAGTGTCAAATACAGTGATCATCGCCTCTGGGCACCGTAGAAGGGATAGCGCGCACGTGCCTTCGTACCAGTCTCGCGTTGCCCCGCCAAAATTTAGGCCCCTGTCTCCTTCCCTCTTTCGTCATTCACTTTCACATCCGGATGAGATCAACGAGCGCATTGCGACGACTGCGATTGGTGACATTACTTGAAGTGATCTCTATCAGAACTACCATACATCTGTTTCTGCAACATTAAGAGCATCATTGCGACGAATATCCGACCTACTGCGCCCATACGACTTCGACAGCCACTCACTACCCCGGTCACCAGTGACAACCAACATCCACAATGCCCACAACTCGGAGATCAACAGGCGGCGCCCGAGCCCGACCCGGTCCGGCTCGGGGCCAGTCGACCATCAGCTTCTCTCACAAGGTCTCGAAGCCGGTCCCGAAGGATCTGAAGAAGGCGGCCGTCCTCGGCTCCGCTGTCGAGAGGGCCGAGCAGGCCAAGAAGGAGGAAGCTGTGCAGGTCGATGAGATCCAGGTTGACGAGCCCGAGACCAAGGAGGATGAGGAAGTCAAGGAAGAGGTCCCCGTGAAGTCGGAGGCTGTCATCCACGCTGAGAAGATTAGCGATGCGCAGATCAACAAGTACTGGAAGTCGATCGAGGCTGAGCGCATCGCGCCCCGGGTTCACCAGAAGGATGTGACCATGGCGGAGAAGGTGCTGCGGTACTTTGATGTCAGCTCGCAGTATGGTGTAAGTCATTTCTTGAGCTGGTATGTTGGAGTGGGAACGCTGACAATTGCGTAGCCGTGTATTGGTCTGCAGCGCATGAAGCGTTGGGAGCGGGCCGACAGGCTTGGCTTGAACCCGCCTATCGAGGTGCTCGCGGTCCTGCTCAAGGAGGAGAAGAAGGGCACTTCTAACATTGAGCGAGCTCATATGGATGAGCTCATGAACTCTACTGCCGTTGGATCTATGTGAGCAAACGTGTGCTCCAGGTCGGGAATGACCGATTATATTATTACGAAGCTACTGGCGTTTGGAGTTGAACTGGCTTGAGAACCGTCTCGCATCACGAGTATACGAGGCATGGGAATGAGAATTAAGCTGTAGAATAGTCAAAGAAAACGTGCTCGGCACGAAAGTCAACGTCTGTAATTAAACCTCCACTGAAGGTGCATAAGAAGTCTTCTCCATATGGTCTGAAGTAGCTCAGTACCAAATGCTCCTCGTTCTGTGATGGTTCACCGTCTCGGTGCCTGCAGCCTCCAACTCTTTCATGGTATCATACAAAAAGAAATCAATCAAAATGGCGTTGACACTCGTACCGGGATGGTCCTTCTGGATCTCCCGCTTGATCAACTCGACACACCAGATACTGCATGCTATTCCAGAGTTAGCATCTGAGCCCTCGGGCTAGTAGCGTATTTCAACTGACCTCTCATCTGCAGCTCCCATCTCGCCCCGCTCTCTAGAACCCGCTTGGAGTTGATAGCCGTCGCCAGCGAAGGGCTATAGTACAGACAGCCCATGGTGTTGAGGATCTGCGGGACGCGGTAGTCGGCAAACATAGTGATCTTGTCAATGTCCCGGAAGGCGCCGATGCCTTCACCGCCAAAGCAGGCCCAGATATCCGCTACCAGGATCTGAGCCCTCTTGAGGAATCGCACCGGCTTCCGGCGGCCCTCAAAGACGTGCTCATCACGGAAGCAGTCGAAATCGCGGGCGAGAAGGTTGACAAGCCTTGCCGCAGAGCCGTTGGCGGCCTCGATGAGTTTTGTGACGCTGCAGTTGTACCTCTCATACAAGACGGTGCCAGCCTCACGGAGGCAAGTCAGGCGCTCCTCGAGCAGAGGCATCTCCTCCTCCGTCTTGGATCTGAACACGTGCCTCATGAGCTCCATGTTACACTCATCCTCGCTCTGCCAAAAGTCAGAGCTCGTGATGGGGATGCCCTCTTCGAGAGCCCTCTGCAGCGAAGCGACCATGCTCCAGTAGCCAGTCCAGGTCTTGCCGCGGTACTCGACGGCGAACCGCTCATCCTCTGGCTTCTCGGACCAGAAGCAGAAGTTAAGCAGATCCATAGTGAAGATGAAGGCGGCGGTGCTGTCGTCTTTGGTCTTAGGATGCAGCTCGTGCTCGGCCCAGGTGGCCGTCGAGTACTGCTTCTGCTCCATCTGGGCGTAGATTGTGGCAGCAGCACGCTTGGTCGCCCTCATGTCGATACAGACATCGATGGAGTTGTCGTAGACGTACTCGGCCCCTTCGAGGACACCCGTCTCAGGGTCATCGTCGACGTTGAGCTTCTTCTGAAAGTGCTGGCGGAGGAGAGCCAAAAGCTCCGGGTCGGCCTCGTCGTCGGACATGGCTGCGATGTTTCTGCCCCTGACTTGTCCCGGCGTGGCTGGTGCCTCTTGCAGATGCGGCTTCTCCTTTGGCCCAAATGCGACTTGCCTTTTTCGTATGCTGCACGAATACGGCCGCTGTGGATGCTGCACCTGGGTGATCCTGATTCTGGGCGACGACTCTGCAATTCTTTCACTGAGGGGACGACGCAGGTTTGAACTTTGGCCTAGGCGGTAGAGGCAGAGAGCCCACGCCCCATACAGCTGCACTGACCCGTTTGTTTTTTGTTGGATCACCGCTCTATTGCAGGCGGCGATCATCCTAGGAGTGAGGGCCTTGGAGGGGTCTCGTACAATCCCATCGTCCAGTTATTTTCCAACACCGTATATTCGCTGCGCAGAATGGGAAACTCGCGCAATCGGCTGATTGCCATGTGAAAGGGGCTGTACATCAGCTTCCAAAGGCACTGCCAGGAACCGGTGGAGGCCTGACGAACGATCGGTGGTGGACACCTAACCTAAGGCAACGTGCCGTGTCAGGGCAGCCCTGGAGGCATCAGTCCAGCGTTTCACAGTGGACAGAGGATGCACCAAGCCGCTGAGGTTACAGCGCTCGTCAGTGAGCTCACCTCAGAGTGCAAGCGAGCGGGAGGGATCCGCTTAATGTACTCATTCAGACCAATCGCAGCACGAGCGCGGCAATTCCCCAAGGAAGCTACAGCTCGAATCCCTGCACGATCTCGTCACCGGCTGCCGGTATTGGCTGGAACCTTGATCAGGGCGATCATTCCTCCCGCTGACCTCTGGGAAAACCTCAACCTGCCTTCCTCTGTGCAGCCTTGCTTCGCACTGAAACCGCCCTCATCCCATCCCACCTAGCGCGGCTGCAAGCTTACACCCACCTTCGCGCTTGCTACCGCACCTCCGATCTCGTCCTTTTCTTCATCATCTCCATTGACTCTTTCCCGACCGAAAAACGACCGACACCATCGCGCGGAAACGATGGATTCCAACACTGCAGCAGACGCAGCAGCTGCACCTGCGGCAACCACCGCGGAACCGACCGCGCCCCTCGCGACGACCACGGCAACGGCAGCGGCGACAGCGACAGAGACGACCACCGCACCAAAACCTCAAGAGCAGCAGCAGCCCGCACAACAGCAACAGCAACCCGCCGCCGCACCTGCAGCGCAGCCTCCCGCGCAAACAGCTCAGAAACCGATTGCCGTTCCCCGGCGTGATAAGTTCTACCAGCAGTCGCTCGGCGGCTCGCTCAACGCAAACGTCAAGAAGGTACGTCGTGGCCCCGGCGCATCAGACCACGCGATCTTCCTTCCATCGCAACACCCATCCCACGACTTCCATTTTTGTCCCATAAACTTGCCGAATCATGCAGAAGTGCTGTCGGATGCAATTGAAGTGACAATTGAGCTAATCATGGCTACGCAGGCGCGCGTGTTGATGGTCGGAGCTGGTGGCATCGGATGCGAACTCCTCAAGAACCTCGTGCTCACCGGTTACGGCGAGATCCACGTTGTCGACCTGGACACCATCGACTTGAGCAATCTCAACCGTCAATTCCTCTTCAGACACGAGCACATCAAGAAGTCCAAGGCTTTGGTAGGTTTCCTGGCGTAGCAGCCAAGTGTCAGGTCTCGCGTTGCTAACAGGTCGATAGGTTGCCAAAGATGCTGCGCAGGCCTTCAACCCCAAGGTCAAGATCGTCGCGCACCATGCGAACATCAAAGACTCTCAGTTCAACACCCGATGGTTCAAAGACTTCAACATCGTCTTCAATGCGCTCGACAATCTCGAGGCCAGACGGCACGTGAACAGGATGTGCTTGGCGGCGGATGTGCCCCTGATTGAGAGTGGTACCACAGGATTCAACGGCAATGTCCAGGTCATCAAGAAGGGTGTTACGGCATGCTACGACTGCACCCCAAAGGAGACGCCAAAGTCCTTCCCTGTCTGCACGATTCGAAGCACGCCAAGCCAGCCCATCCACTGCATCGTGTGGGGCAAGAGCTATCTTCTCAGCGAGATCTTTGGCGCCAGCGAGGACGAGTCCGCGTTCGATAATTCAGCCGATGCCGACAACGCAAAGGAAATTGAGGAGCTGAAGAAGGAGGCCGCTGCCCTGCGCGCCATTCGCGACGCTTTGGGTACTGAGGCCTTCCCCCAACTTCTCTTCGACAAGGTCTACAACAGCGACATTGTGCGACTGGCATCGATGGAGGACATGTGGAAGTCGAGGAGAAAGCCTGAGCCGCTTGACTACAAGAAGTTGTTGGAGCAGTCTACTGAAGCTTCGGGTGCGAAGGCGTCGATCCTGCAGGAAGGCCAGAAGGTGTGGAGCTTGGAGGAGAACTTTGCCGTCTTCGTCGACAGCTTGGATCGTCTTAGCAAGCGTATGCAAGAGCTGAAGAAGGCGCACCAAAACGGAGGAGCCGAACCTCTGATCACCTTTGACAAGGATGACGAGGACACCTTGGATTTCGTGACGGCAAGCGCCAACATCCGCTCTTCCATTTTCGGCATCGAGCGCAAGTCTCGTTTCGACATCAAGCAAATGGCAGGCAACATCATCCCGGCGATTGCAACGACTAATGCCATCGTTGCTGGTCTGTGTGTCCTTCAGTCGTTTAAAGTCCTGAAGGGTGAATACACTAATACTAAGGAGGTAAAGTTTTGTCTTCTCCAGCGGTGATTGGAGTCGCGGTCTAATGTCTGTATAGGTGTTCATCTCCCCTCACAACCCTGCTCGTCTGCTCAATGCGACCAAGTACCGGGCCCCTAACCCGGAATGCCCAGTCTGCAGCGTTTACCAGACGACTGTCTCCGTCGACATGTCTAGAGCCACGTTGAAGGACCTCGTTGAAGACTTTGTGCGCCTTGAGCTTGGCTACGGCGACAAGGAGTTCGCCTTGAACAACGATGCTGGCCCCCTTTACGACCCTGATGAGACCGAAAACCTGTCCAAGAAGCTCAGCGAGCTCGGAATCACCGAAGACACCTTTCTTACTGTCATTGATGAGGATGACGATGAGCCTTTTGTCAATGTTGTCATCAGCATACAAGAATCGTGCGTCCCCCTGATGCAATGGCCTTGAATCTTAGCTAACCCCTTGCAGCAAGGAGCCTCTCGAGGACAAGCCCGTCAAGGGCATGACCGCGGATCAAAAACCCGAGATCCCTCGTAAGCCAAAGAAGGAGACACCTGCGCCGGCGGCGGCAGAGTCGAACGGTACAAGCCAGCAGAACGGCAAGCACTCGCTGGATGTCTCGGAGGAATCGCCAAACCTCAAGCGGCCGCGGCCTGACGATGGAGATGAGCCGATCGAGGCTAAGAAAGCCAAGGTCGCAACAACTAGCAGCAGTGATGATGTGGTCCTCGTAGATGATTCTACGGGTGGAGCCATCGTCATTGACGACTGATATTGCAAGGGTCTGTTGATTTGAAGCCAGGGGTGTCCCTCCACAACCTAGGGAGCTCTAGCTCGTCAGACTGCACTTAGCCCACCATCCAGGTTGAGGACGCAGTTATTGGCGTAGGTGTTTTGGGCCAGGAAGACGGCGGCGTCTGCTACCTCATCAGGTCTACCCAGCCGCCCAAGTGGGATTCGCTTTTCGAGGGGTTCTCTCGACATTGCTGTAATTTGTATATTAGCACCGTTCTGATCAGGAACATTGGTTACTGGGGTTTCGGAAGCCTAGCTTGCGGATAAGAAATAGGGCGAGGATATGTTTCTTACAGGCAAGCATATTGGTTTCTATGTAGCCGGGAACTATGGCGTTGGTCCTGATTCGCAGTGGCCCCAGCTCAACGGAGAGAGCGTGGGTGAGACCTTTCGGCAGATTAGATTTGGTCCACGTCAAACGGGGCGAGGAGGCAACAGATAGACCTCTCGGAGACGTGCGATGAGGAACGAAGCCAAACAGAAAAATAAAACATACCAATAATGCCAGCTTTCGAAGCTGCGTACACGCTGGTGCCGGGGCTGCCCTTTTCGGCGAGCAAGCTCGCAACGTTGATAATGCATGCTAAAAGGTTCAGGAGCAAGTCAGCTGGGTTGCTCAGTGCTTTGCAAAGGCACACTCTGTGCGGGTGCGATCGGATCGATTATGTGGCAAGTATGCCATGACTTACAATCCCTGTCGGCGCGCCTGCGCTTCATGCGCTGGGCCATGTACCTCGACATGAAGATGGTTCCCATGAGGTTGGTGTCGAGGAGCTCGCTGGCGGCTTGGGGTGAGGTATTCTGTAACAGCTGGAATTGCGCAATACCCGCGGCGTTGACAAGGACGTCCATCTGGCCCGTCCGTTTCTGTGGGCGACGCATTTTCCTCTGTTAGTGGATGACGACACGCGAATGAGGCTGTCTAGCTAGCTAGTGAAGCAAGAGATATATATGGCTTCTGCCATGATGCATTGAAAGGAAAGAAATAAGAAAGAGAGGGGGAGGTCGAACCCAGATGTCGTCCAGTACGGCTTCATCGCGGCCTTGGGCGGATACATCCATGACGGCGTACGAGTGCGCGGGGGGCTTCTCGTCCAGAGATGGACGGGTGTTGGTATTGGATGCGGCGGTGAGGGGGGCGAGTCGGGTGTCCCGGAAGGGTGGGAGCTGGGAGCAGAGCTCGCGCAGCTTGTCTTCCTTGCGGCCGAGCAGGGTCACAAGGGCGCCCTCGGCGGCGAAGCGGGCGGCGATCGCGGCGCCGATGCCGCCGTATGCGCCGGTGATGAGGGCATGGCGGGCGCGGAGGGGGAGGAGGGTGCCGGACATTGCTGTTGGAGGGATGGGTGGATGCGTCAATGGTACGCGGCGCGTGAGCTTGCCGTTTGGGAAGATTGAGGTTGCCCGTATATTACGCAGTACTCGGGATGCTGGGGGTTACGGGTTACGGGTTGCGTGTGTGAATGAGCTGGTTTGGTTTGATGGATATGGAGACGTTTACGAAGACGGGGGGAAGCTCTCTGGGTTGAGGCGGGACACGGCACTGGATGGAGGTGTGGGGTGTGTGTCTGAGTCTAAATTTTGGTGTTGGTGGGGTGGAAGCGAGGAAGGGATGGAAGAATGTCCCGAGGTGGAAGATGGACAAGGTTGAAAGGCTGAAGATGTGTGAAGTCAGAATGTCGTATTGGCCGTTTTCGGTTTGTTCACCAGCACCTAAGGTTGGGCGGGGAGTGGAAGAAAGCAAGAGGGACAGCAAGAGAGCTCTTGTTGATCCTTCTTGAAGCTCTCGGACGCCGAAGCTGATTCAATGCAACATGCGCAATCTGAAATCGCAGGGTGGGGGGAAAGAGACACGAGTAGCAACAAGACAGGAGGCTTTCAGCTTCTCCAAGAGACTGGGATGGACCTGGTTTCGGGGGTCTTGCTTGGCCGGGCGTTGAGGGGGAGTTTGGGCGGAGGATGATAATGGCATTATTTGCGTGTCTCAATTCTGGCATTGCTGGAGAAGGAATCTGATTCCGAGGTCTTTGTGGCTTTCCGTCTGGATTCTTCGATCCCATGTTTCTAGCTCTCAGATGGTGAGACAGACGTCTGCTGAGTTGACCGTCATTGTACTCCACCTCGCCTTGAGTATTCGAGGTCTAATCTATTCATGGTGTTGGGAGGATAGAAATGAGGATATCTTTCTGTTGATCTCTTGGAGATTGTGTGAAGCGGGGGCGAAGTGTGGAATGAGTACCTCCTCGGGCTACCCAGATAGATGGTGAAAAGTAAGTGAGGCACATGTCTGGCGCGGATGAGGCTTGAAGCTCCCGTCTCGCGTCCACATGCGCCCACCCGCAACGGTTAGACGGACCATTTCTACTCAGTACGGACACCTCTTGGGAGGTTAAAGTCTTCTGGAGTGATCCCTGTGTGGCCTCCCGAAGTAGATACCTTGGGGAAAAGTACCGTCGACTTTGCATCTGAATCTGCCAAAGACGATTGGCAACAGCGGGCTGGGAAGCTAAGATAGGCCCCGCTGTCGTTGTCGATTCTAGGACGTGGAGCGATGCAGCGAATGACAATGGGGCCCGTCGCATCGCTGTGCCTGTCGCTAGTTAGCGGATTGGATGCAACCTGATTGATTGATTGTTCTTCTGTGACGTCTAAGAGAGCTGCCTCTGCGGTCGTAGTCGCCGCTAACGCTAGAGGCCGTTTCGCATATGATTGCTGTACCTCCCGTCTCCAAGGTAAGGTACCTTGGGCACCCGTGTAACGAACCTAGATAGGTCAGGTATGCAGACGACAACCCGGCGCCTCGGTTGGTTCCAACGAACGTTGGAGGTGTCGAGGTACCTTGCGGCAAGTACCTCCCACACCACCACCACCACGCCAGTGGTTCCAGTTCAGGTTCCAGTTACAGTTCCACGTCCTGTCCATTATGGTGCGAACGCAACATCGCAATCCCACCACTACTGCAGCTGCAAATTTCCCTTTCCTCTTTTTCCTGCTCTGCATACCTCACACGTTTTTCTCTCTTCCATCTGCGCCCAAAACTGCCACTCCTCGGTACGCTGGTCACCTTACCACGCTCGTTTCCCGGAGCAAATGCAAAGTCTCCTGCCGAGGCGTCGTGCAATCGCAGAAGCATCACCTCCGAGTCCTCGTCCACCACCACCCTAGGTAGCCAGACTGCCCGTCGCCGCCCGCCTAATACCGACCCCGAACTACCACGATCCACACCGAACGCCTGCCAGCTCAACCCTCCGACCCAGAGTCGAATGGCCGTATGCCTCACGATCGCGACATCCGACAACGCCTGATGTCTGGTCATACCAATGGCGCCGCATCGGCGCCAAACCCCGCCTCGCCCAGAGACCCGTATGCCGAGAAGCTCGATGCCTTCCCCGAGTTGCCTACTGCGCCGCCGCCGCCACCTACAATCAACGTCGTCAAGAGCCCCAGCGACGCGCCCGACGCCGGACTGAGGAGCCTGGATCACTGTAAGCTACACTCTGTCGTCTGGTTCAGCTGTCTGCCGTGGCCAGGAGTCTTGCGACCCGCCTGGAGAGAGCGGGGCTGTTGGATCGCGAGTAATGACGGCCTGAGCTGACATTATGCTTCTTCACAGATAAGAGGGCGCTGCCGAGATGGCGATACCGACTGCGCCAGTGGATGCTGCCGCTGATCCGATGGGAGACGCCGTACTTGGCTTACTTGCAGGAGACGATGCGCACACCTTGGCTCGATAGTTATTTTGCGATCACGGCGAACCTCGGTACCCATACCTTCTTCATGATCGGCCTGCCCATGCTCTTCTGGTGCGGCTACGCCTCCTTCGGCAAAGGGTGAGGATATCTTAAGTTTCCATATAACGGATGCAGCCAGCTGACTATTTGACAGTGTTATTCACATTCTCGCCGAGGGCGTCTTCTTCACTGGTTTCATCAAGGATCTGTTCTCTCTCCCGCGACCTCTGTCCCCGCCCTTACATCGAATCACCATGTCCGGTTCCGCTGCTCTAGAATATGGATTCCCTTCGACGCACAGCGCAAATGCTGTGTCCGTGGCTGTATATGGAATTCTGGTGCTTCGAAGCCCTGATACGGTGCTACCAGACACAACCAAGAACCTCCTCGAAGGCTTGTCGTACTTTTACGCGATCTCCATCGTCTTCGGTCGTCTGTACTGCGGCATGCATGGATTCACCGACGTCGTTGTGGGATCCGTCCTGGGCGCCGCCATCTCTCTGGTTGAGTTCCACTATGGCCCGGCTTTGGATGCGTATATGCACAGCAGCTCCTGGTGGGCACCCGCCATTGCTGCTCTGATCATCATTGCGCTCGTCAGAATACACCCCGAGCCAGCGGACGACTGTCCCTGCTTTGACGACAGTGTGGCCTTTGCCGGTGTCGTGATTGGCCTGGAAATCGGAACCTGGATGTACGGTCGTACCTCGCTGGACTCGTTTGGGGGTAATGCTCACAGCGTCCAATCCATTGACCTCAATGCTCTGGGCTGGCACGTCGTCCTCGCTCGGGTCATCTTTGGTGTACTAGTCATTTTCGTCTGGCGAGAGGTTATGAAACCTACGTTGCTCAAGGGCCTGCCACACATCTTCCGTCTCCTGGAAAAGGTTGACATGAATCTTCCCAGACGATTCTTCACCCCTGCGTCCAAGTACGAGACTGTCGACCCAGGATCTCGTATGGATACCCTCATCCCCTCAGTCAGGGACTTTCCCCGTGTTGTCCAGTCCATCCGTCACCCGACCACGCGCGGTCGGTCCGTATCAATCGGTCCGCAGAGTGCTGCTGACGCCTACGAGACGCTCGCCTACCGCGAGCGTAGGCGGCGTGAGAGCATCGGCAGCAATGGTAGTGTTAAAAGCAAAGGTAGCATGTTCGAGCTTCGGGAGAAGAACGGAGACTGGGAGGGGAAGGGAGCCGCTTCGGGCGTGCAGGGCCACAATACGCTCAACGACTTTGAGCGGATGATGGGCACTGGCAGCGTGTTGGCGAGTCCAAACGAGGAGAAGGAAGGGATGGATTTGGCGGTCGGCCAGCAGGACGAGCTCAGCGAGAAGGAAATGTTCTTGCGTCTCATCCGGCCTCGAGTGCGTTACGATGTCGAGGTCGTAACAAAATTGGTGGTTTACACAGGTACGTTGCTGCAACCCTCTTCCGCAAGATCCGGATATCCTGGTTATATGTGCAGGTGCTGACAGCTGGCGTAGGCATCGCGTGGCTGGGCGTTGGCCTGATCCCCATCATGTTCGAGTTGGTCGGCATGGGATCTGCCCATCTTCGCAATCCGTAATTCGGACAGTTCTTTCCGGGTCATCTTGGACGCGGAGAGCTTGCGTTTGTGTTTCTCACCGAAAAGATACCATCTCTGAAACTTTTCTTTTCTCCTTGCATGATGCATCGGCAGATAGGTGCTTGACTCACCACGCCCAAAGATGGAAAAGGGGGCCGTTTGCCTTGCGAAAAGGGGACGGCATAGAATTTTTTATTTTCACGAAAGCACGACCGTATCTATATTCTTCTGCATCTACCCCGGGCGGTTTTCGATATTTTGAGGGACTTTGTTGACAGAGGGAGGTTGGCCTTTGTGCGCATGTCCTGTTCTAGGCGTTTTTCTGGGAAACCTGTTCTTGGGGAGATGGTGCCGGGATCAGGTAATAATCGAGTGTGTATCAGTAGAGATATCAAAGTCGAATGGAAAGCCTCTTTTTATCTCGAGTTACATCGGGTGGTCTGCCTCGTCAACCTGTAGGTTCTGGAGGATCGCTGGCTGTGAGACGTGCGTTTGGATGCCTGAGAGAGTGAGAATGGATAGGTGAGACCCACGACCGCCACGTTGACTTGCCAGTTCTAGCGCGTGCTTTTTGCATATCCCCTCACTTTTTGTCTCCTTCATCTACCGTCGTCGTCACCCGCCTGCCCATCGTCGATGGCACAAGCTGGGGAGAATCATGCCAATCAGATGTCTCTCCTTGTTTACGAGGGCACTGCCACGCCATATCCAAGTACCTTGATGGCCCCAGATGAGAGAGATAACATCTTTGTTCCTCGAGTCTGATCTCACCTCCTCGGTGCTGGCCTCTTCACACCCCTCGAAGAGACGATACTGGACCGATATCCTGGATGTACCTTCGCCTTCTTTCCATCTTTCTCGTCATCAGTTCATATCTGAAGAGGGCTTTTAACAAATCTGGGTCACTGACGATGCTGGAGGACTTTGAAGCCAGGTATTTCTTATCGCCAGTCCATTACCACACAACGGAAACTAACTATCAAGACGTAGACTGCCAAGCGGCGTATATCATCATCTTGCGGGCATTA